TAATGATTGTAGATCCTTTGATGAAATGCACGCCACCAAAAATGTTTGGGGATCATGTAGCGAAAATGGGATTAATTTTTGATTTGTCACTTACTATTTGAGTTGAGATTCTAGTATATTTTTCTCTGTAATGAAACTTTGTTTTTTGTTTGTTGTCTCATTTATGATAATATACATTTATATTTAAGAACAACAAATGTTTAAGGACCTAGAATAAACATTTGAAGTTTATCATAAAGTAATGTTATGAAGTTTATTCAGAAAAAGGAAAAATTACATTGTAACACATGGAAGGTAATACTTATTTATAAAATGACTTCCCGCCATGATTCATGTAATTCTATTTTTCTATTTAAGCATATAAGGAATAAGCTTATTATGTTACGGAAATAATTGTGTTATAAAAGTTTGGACCAAGTGGGAGAATGTTAGAATTTTTTAATTTTAAAATTAAAAATCACATTATCTTTAATGGTCCTAACTTTTAGTTTCATGATAAGTGATATAGTTTTAATGAGATTGTGATAACTACCCATTATTTGAATGAGATTATGATAATTACCCATTATCTTTTGAATTCTCTAATTTTGAGATAGTAGTATCTCCTTGATGGGAGAGATTCTGCTTATAAAATAAAATCCTTAACTCAAGGCAACTTCTTAGAATACAACTACCGTATTACCATCACTGAAAAATTACTATTTAAGTTGGAAGAACTCATCAGAAATAAACTAGATAACTCTAAAGGTGAGCTTGCGAAGGAAGAAGCTGAACATTTGCTATGGCTGGAGGTTAGTGTTGTTATTCTTATTGAATTTTGATTTGGTGGGTTTATTTACAGCAAAAAAATATACATTGTTATTAAATAATAGTTGATATTTATTTATATTTATTTATTTTAGTTTCTAATTTCTACTATTATTTGTTATTATGTATATGAGTGTATATATATATATATATATATATATATATGCATGTGAATATATTTACCAGTCTAAACTCATTTAGTTCATGGGAACCTCAGCTATGCATATGTCATTTCCCTGCAGCCATATTTTCTTGGGTAACTACTGTTTTTTTTTTTCTTGGGTAACTTTTGTTTGTTATCTAAACGTATAGGAATCTTCATGTGACTACTGAGGGACAAGAAGATGCTCGCTCAGAAAAGAAGTCCATTGAAGGAGATGGTCGTGTTAAATCTGGAAGAAGAACAAGAGGACAATAACTCAAGATAATGTTGAGAAGAAAGGTGATAAAGAGGACGGGGAGGAGGAAAACGTACTGCTACAGGTATTGAGGATTGTTCAGATTAAAAGCAATTCGTCTTAATAAATTTACTTATTGTCGCATTTCTTTTGATTTTGGGGTTAATGACTCTTGAAGAATATGAAAAGAAGAAGCTTAAAGATAGGAACACTTTAGAAGCTTCCAAAAGGCCCGAGCAGAGGAAAGTTGAAGACGAGGATCTCGAGTCCGTGCAACTTATTGGGGAAAAAAAAAAGGACGACTGCCAGCTTGTGAGTAAAGGAGTTTGTAATTTTAGTTCATTTTAAATTGAATATATATATATATATATTTAATTGACTACATGTTGGTAGTCAATACTGTTTCCAGAAAACTGAAAAGCTTCAGAAGAAAGATAATATTAAGGAAGAGAAAGTTCATAAGGTAATGCATAAGCCACCTGGCTTTCTTTATCAGTTTTATATCAAACAGAAAATTCCAAAAAATGGCTGATCTGCAACTGTGCCTTGCAGACATTAAGCATTAATGAATTCTTAAAACTAGCAGAGGGTAAGACTCCTTATTTCCGGCACAGGCGGAAGGGTGACAGGCCTTATGGCAGGCGTGACGTGGAGAGGCCCAGTAGCTAGGGTAATGGTGTGAGACAAAATGGCAGGCATGAAGGAAGGAGGCCTCATGGCCCAGGCAGTTGGCAGAGGCCTTCTAGTTCTAGTAAAGGTGGTGAGGAGGGGCTCAATGGACGGTTCGTTGATGAGAGGCCAGCCTGGCATGGACGTGCTACTGGGCTTCTCTTGATCCACACCCTCCTAGTCCTAGCTTTGCCTATGAGCATCATCAATTTCCTGCTTTGAGAGAACACGGAAAAGCTTATGGACACTAATGCTTGTAGATAAATTTTTTTAATTATAATTATGAGATTTTGACTTTCTTCAGCAGTAGCTTTCTTCACATTATGCTCTCATTTAGACAGGGGCTCAGCTGATTCATTCATTTTTCGTGGTTTGTTTTAGAGCCATTTTTAGATTCCCTCTTCTTTTTCTACTTGTGTGGTTGCCTGCATCCAACATCTTCTCTGATCTGGCATGCATACGGCATACGCATACAAGTGTCATAAACTGTTAAAAGATAAAGCAAGAAAAGCCGACACTGTCATCAGGAAAAACAAACTACTAAGCGTAGCAGTCAGGCAACTTCCTTATCAATGCGCTGGCTCGGTATTCTATCGGAAATTCTCGCAAGTGCTTCAGCTCGATTAATAGGGTAAACGGTGTTGTCAATCGCGTCCATTAGAATCGAGGTCAGAGGCAAGGCTACAGAGAAACGCAGATAAACTAAACTCTTTCCAGGGTAAATTATCTAAGTGGTTATTAGTGCTGATGATAATGAAAGGATTGCCGTCTTGATGTGTCAGCATGGATAATTACAACCATGGAAATGAAATTTGTTAGCACACGGTCTAGGCTTGACTGAGCCTACAAATCTTATTACGCAGCATGTGACATCCAGATCCTTTGTTTTTTTTATTTCATATCTTGAACAGGAGTGCAACATTATAATTTATTATTACTAATAAATCCGGGTGTTTGTCAAATCAAAGCCTGAAAACAGCGTGACCCATCTAACATCTATAGGGCCTAGACGGTCAATATCAAGTTGTGAATCATTATCCAAGAGAAACAGCAAAAGGACCTTTCAGTCTCAACCTCCCCTTTCATGAAGAGGCAACCTAAGCCTTCCAAGTCTTCACCAAGGCCCCATTCCCCACCTTTCTTGTCCTGTGATCATTCCTTCATCTACGCCTACGTGTCACCTCATCCCAAGCAACCTACCCCAATAAATGAAACAAATAAACAATAAACAAACCATAGCAACTCAAATCACATCCGTCCACGTCATCACTTGATGTAACCCGAATAAACCCTTAGGTACCGTTGGATATGCCGCCACGTGTGCAACCGTAAACCGGATATAAATCGGGTATAGGTATATCCTTTCGTCTCCTCAAGTGTCAGCCTTTTTTAATTAAACCCCTAGAAGATCAAGAGCACTACTGATGCAAACACTTGATTGGAATATTCGACGGTAAATTCCCCCAAAATATTATTTTCTTTTTGAATAAAATAAATAAATACGACCGGTTTCTTTTTTCAGCTCCTCAGATATTCCTTTGTTTTTCCCCCCTCCCCCATCTCTCTATATAGCTCAAACTAATCCGAACAAAATCTCTTGAAACACCAAACCCGATACACGTCAAAAGACAAAAAACGACGCCATTTAGAAACATTTAATGGCTGCTTTTGTTCGAAGAATAAAACGAGTTACTGACCCGCTCGATGACAGAGTCAAGGCTCGACTCGTCGGCGTCAGTTATATCAGCAGCGGAAGCGAACACTCTGCTACCGCAGCCGAAGATGACTCTCCTTGCCTCTCGGAACTCGTTCATAGTTTCCTGGAAGACGACAAAGAGGCTGCTGAGCAAACTGGTTACAACTCTGACCCCGACCGAGTCGATTCAAACCTTGATACTACTGTGTTGATCGAGATCATCATCAAGTCATCCGCTTTCGACAACGCGGACTCTTACAGGAATCTGCTCATGGCTCACGTTTTAAAAGCAATGGAAATGTTTTCTTTTTTCAAAACGGATACAAGTACTTTCCGGCGTAAAATAATGGCTTATCTTCGCGAGATAGGCCACAATGCGGCGATCTGCAAGACCAAATGGAGTTCCTCAGGAGGCCTAACTGCCGGAAACTACGAGTTCATCGACGTGCTGCAATCGGTATCATCCACGTGGCAAAACCGGTACTTCATTGACCTCGATTTTGCCTCCGAGTTCGAGATCGCCAGGCCGACGAGCGAGTACTCGAGACTTTTGCAGTATTTGCCCAGGGTTTTCGTAGGGAAGCACGAGGAATTGAAAAAGATCGTCAAGGTCATGAGCGATTCGGCAAAAAGATCGTTGAAGAGCAAAGAATTATCTCTCCCTCCTTGGAGGAAAAACCGTTACATGCAAAACAAATGGTTCGGTCCGTACCGTCGCACGACGAACCAAATGTCAGCGAGCTTTAGCTCGCTGACCCCCGCAATGATCCGTCCCGCGAACGTTGTCAAATGCCGTTACGTTGGGTTCGACGACGCCGTCAACGGCCGTTTGTTTGTCCGTACGAGATGATAATTTGATAAACGAGATAAATAATTTTCAAAATTATAATAATAATATAATAAAAAAAGCGTGGAATATTTGTAATCTTTAATAATTACTCCAATAATTACAATTTTTTTAGTTTATCCTTTTATTTTATTTTTTGTGTCTCGTAAAGAGATAACTATTTAAAAAAGTAGTGTAACGCGGCCAACACACATTGCGTACAAGGCGACCGCACGTAACGTAGAATTGCCAATTTGATCACGTGTTTACCACGTGACCTGAGAATCAATAAATGCGAGAATTGTCCTTCCAATTTAGCATGGACATTAGCGTCCGCTGAATAAAATTCCACGTGTCGGGAAGTTCATTAGTGTAGAACGCGATGAGGGTGACGTGGCAGGGTCAGTGTCGATGCGACGTCGCGATTAGGAAACGATGAGGATTGCGGAGGGTGTTGGTTTTTGTATGCGGTCAAGCAAGGTTGATGAGAGAAGATATCACAGGGTGGCACTGGCGTGTATACAGTGGACAAGTGGAAGGGTGAAAGCAGGAGATTTGGGCAAATATCGGAGTTTTTTTGAAAGAGCAAAACAATGAGGGGACAGCAGTGAGATGGAAAGATGGTGAAATGGATAAGATATTTTATTTGTTTTCGGCTTTTAAAAGTAGATCAGGACTGAGGAGACAAGATAAGGGAGGTGAGGGCACTTAGGGAGGGAGATGAAGTGGCCCAATGGTGAAGTGGGTGGCCAGTTCTGCTACTTTCGGAATTGGCATGAAATTTGCTTTTTCCTGTTTCTTGGTTTTAAACTTTTTAGGTGCCAATGGCATACTCCTTTCGCCATCTTCAAACTAATTTCCGACTCTTTGTTCCACAACGCTTAAATCTTAAATCTGTGGACTATGGATATGAATGTGACTAGACTCCATCCTCCAGCTCGGAAACTTATTTACTAATTCATTACCACTTTTTTGAGTAAATTACGCCCATTATCTTCAAAGTTGGGATTGTATATCCGCCCTTGCATTTTGAAAAATCACTTATTATTTGACTTTGTGCTTTGGATGTTTTAATGAAATAAGTTTTGTGTCATTATTTTCGTTAATCATGTAGTCAAGTACCAACTAACGATACCTGTTCCTTGGTGTATCAAATGATGTGTATAAATAATGCTTAAACGAAAAAAAAAACCAATTTTGTTTAGGACATGGCAATTGTCAAATTGTTTTGGATAATTTCTATTGTTTGTGAGTTTGTTGCAAGGATATTTATGACATGTTAAACTAGTTTTGGGTAAAAAAAGAGTTCTAGAAAGAGAAAATGGGGAAAGTGCAAAGATTGGGCGGTAAAAGGGACTTAATTTGGTACTTCATCACTAATCTAGCCTAAATACAAGGGCAAAATGCCCCTCAAGACAACGGATCGGCATTTCAAGGGCCACTCCAGGCTCTCACACCAAATCAAAGGGGCTTAATCTAGCTCCTCATGTCGTATCCAATAAAGTAAGGATACGCTTTATGTCAAAGATCTCACATTAATAAAAAATAAAGTGAGTTTTAAGTATATAAATATTAATTTTTCATCACTTATCAGACATATCTTTTGAGTTAGGAATGTGAACTTTTAATTTATAAGCTTACTTAAGCTCTATTTTTAGAGTTTCGGGTTACACGAGGTTATGTTTAAGTTTTGGCTCATGACATTCGGTATCAAAGCATATTTGAATCTTCACTGATGTGGGTCCCATAAGAGATACAAAGATCGAGGTAAACCTGTACTGGTGTAAAAATCTCTTTTCTCTACAGGTAAAGAGCTAGTGTAACGAGAATATTGCACAATTGGGTAAGGAAGAATATCACGGATCCCATATCTATAGGAAATAAAGTAAGTCTCAAGTATATAAACATGTGTCTTCCACTACTTATTAAGCATGTCTTTTCGGTTGAGAAAGTAGATCCGTGATTTATAGGTTTGCTTAAACTCGTTTAAGGCTGCACGAGGTTGGACTTAAGTTTGGACCCATGACACTTAGCTCCAGCTACTAGCATCGCACTAGAAGAGTGGAATTCGACCGTGCCAACAAAACCAAATGAAGAAAAGAGAAAAAATGTGAGAAGTTTTTTTATAAAATTTATTTAAAATAGAATATTAAACTCATTATCTATTTTTTATTAATATATTTGATTTAAAAATTAAATTAAATCAATAATTTCTAACAAATCAATTTTGAACACATCATCTAACACTTGTCGCTAAGTGATACTTAACCCTAAAACTAATGAAATATTGATGGAATGATCTTTATGTTATAATGTTAAAAATATAAGGAACACTAAATGACTTTTCAACCTACAAGGTTAAAATAGTATGCAATCAAACTTTTAAGAGTCACATGTTTAATTTACTCATATTATTTTGGCTACAAAAGAGTATTACTTATTTAATCTACAATTTCTACCTCAATCTCATTACCATGCTTACAATTGATTTAAACTCAAATGGCATAAAGTGTTTGAGACATGCTTACAATTTAAGTTAATCTCAAATAGCACAAAATATTTGATACGTAAGATTAAATTATCTTTAAAATATGTGTTGTGTGCAGAATTAAAATATTTATATTTAATTCACGTCATTTTCTTCATATATGATATATCTGATCGTGTTAGTACATGGTTCAAGTCAATTGAATTGGTTGTTTAAAGATACTTATTGTAGTTAAGCATTTATTATTTATAAAAGGTAGTCTTCATATTTTAAATCCTTATGTACGTCTATTTGATAGAAGTAAAGTCCACAAAATATTACAGGTTTTGCAAAAAGTATTATAAAGAGTTATAATTATGAGAATCTTATTGCATCAAAGCATTATTCCTAAATTAGTTCTAGTCGAAAGTTTTATCAAGAAACATGGATATTGATAAGAAATAAAGATCGACACATGGTTATGTTTCTCACTTAGGAAGTGGGCAATTGATCTCATGGATGGAAGTATGGGGATACTTTAACTAAAATGTAAATCCTTGTTACAATAACAAATTCACTGAACATGACCCGCTGTGAGAATTCCATTTGATATGTCACTCGAGCCTATATAGAATAAATTCTCATGTCATTGTTGTGTAAGTGATCCTTAGACTTTAGATCATATGATTACCTTATATGTGCAATGCTATACTTTGATATTGTATCAGTGATCCTAGCCAAAGATGCTAAAAAATGGATAAATTTTGTATATAGCATGAGACATATGAAGGAAAGTCAATGATCAATAAGGGAGTCATCACTTTAAGTGAATAAAAGGGAATATCACATTGTAACTTGATACGTTGCATCATGTTTTAAATCTTGTCGGGATATTAGATGATGAAGCAATATATTAATTGCATGACAAGACTGTGTATTAAAAGGTTGAGCAAATCACTATGACTTTACTTAATATTTGGATAGTTACAATACATTGCTAGATGCCAATCTTGACTTATAAATATTAACTAATCAATTAGAATTGACGATGAATGCAGAGAAATTTGATGCATTTAATCTTAGTTTGGCTTGGATTATAATTAATATTTATTGTCAATTTGTTAAAAACCTAATGGATCACACACATTAAAGAACCAAATGAAGTTATGAACTTTAGGGACTTAATTGAATAGAGGTAATTATGCAATTAACATAAATGTTATGCATAATCCTATAAGATCTATAATAAATTAATTGCCTATAAATATGAGGCTTATGCTACACTTTGAAGGGTACAACCAACACTACTAAATTGTTACAAATCATCCATAAAACCCTATGAGACTTGTGAGGAAAATTGGAAGGAGTCCCAATCCAAGAAAATGAGCCTAGCTATCCCTATAGCCATGTGACATGTTAATATTCACCCTTACCCAATTAAAGCTTTCTTTTCTTGAGTACGACTAACATATTATTCCATTTATTGAGATTTTGAATATAATTCTTTGAAACCATGTGGATCACACCTTGCTCGGAGACTTGGTTTCTTTATGGCCGATTGATGCTTTGAAGTTCTTAGTTCTGTTTTGGTTTCTTTTGGTGAAAAGAAAGTATGGATTTCCTTTTTCCCTAGTTAGCACTTGGCACTATAAACATAAGCTACCCCATTCTCTAATGGAGTTATTCACAGTTGTCATTCATATGGTTCATAATCAGAGATTGAACACTTGGATAGCTTATGGTTTGCCACAACCCAGCTTGGTGCAAGAGGATTAAGTTATGCTAAAACCTTGTGATTTCAACTCTGAGGCCTTAAGGTATCCTTGTAGCTGTGCGAGCCCTTTTTTCTTAAGTGAGAATCAAGTATTATTGTCCATTGATTAGGATTTGATTAATTGTTGTTTGAAACCATGTGGATGACACCTTTCTAAGAGACTTGGTACCTTTATAGCCGATTGATGCTTTAAAGTTCTTGGTTGTGTTTTCACTTCTTTTGCCTCTTCCCTAGCTAACCCTAGGCACTGCAAGCATAAGCAACCCCATTCTTTAATGGAATTCGCAATTTCCATCTATATGGATCAACTTTGGAGGGTAAACACTTGGATAGCTTATGGTTTGCCATAACCTAACTTGGTGTGAGAGGATTAAATTGTGCTAGAATCTTGTGATTTCAACTCCAAGACTTTAAGGCATTATGTCTTTTATCTTCTAATCAAGATTAGTTTATTATAAATATCCAAATTTTGATTCTACCTAAGAGAAAGGTTTTAAATTTTGCACTGTGTAGTGTAATATGATTGCATACCTTTTTCTCAACAATATAATCCTATGAAACAAGATAAAATTAAAGTAAAATTTTTCAGAGATAGGTTTATGTAAGAAAAAAATGGTAATATTTCAATTAGTACACAACAATGTAACTTTACAATCCTTGTTTTTAATAGTATTATGCCAATACACATGATTTCATTATAGGTAAAAAGTACTAAATTATAGAAATAAGGTGCATCTATAACTATAGATAAAAGTAATTTTCTTTTGGTACTATTTCAATTAGGTGTCCATTTTACTTTTTTGTAGAAATTTTTATTTTTGTAGTTTCTTTAAGGGCCAAAAACAAAAATAACGAAAACAAAAAATTTTACAACAATAAACATAATAACCATCATCAAT